ATATCTCAGGGATCCCCAGGACCACCACGGCTGCCAGTGCCCCTTACGAATTATAGGACCTTGTCTGGCATGCCTCCATACCTATAATGACCCCCAAGGCCCTAACTTGGAGTAGCTGAAGCTGTGATTATCTCTGTTGGCAGGGAAGAGGCATCTCCCCTATAGTCCCTGATGAAAACATAAAACTCAGCACTAGGAATGTAGCTCAGTGGTAGAACACTTGCCTTGTACTCTCAAACCTCTAAGATGGAGCCTCTGAGCCGGGCAGTGGTGGCGCACGCCTTTAATCCCAGCACTCCGGAGGCAGAGGCAGGCGGATCTTTGTGTGTTCGAGGCCAGGCTGGACCGATAGCCTCCGAAACAATACAGAGAAACCCTGTCTCGTAAAAACCAAAAAAAAAAAAAAAAAAAAAGATGGAGCCTCTGAGAACTACAATAAATAAACGTACAAATCCAAATGCCCACGCATGCACACACAAGCTCACATGCATCACCACTGCCCAGCTCAGATCTCTGTCTGTCTGTCTGTCTATCTATCTATCTATCTATCTATCTATCTATCTATCTATCTATCTTTGGTGAAATTCTTCAGTGACTGAGTCTGGAGCTGTTCTTGTATTAAACAGGCAGACTTCCTGAAAAGAGATTACATTTATTTCTTCTTATACTAATAGGAAAGTAGTGTCTGTTATAACAATTTAATGCCAGGGTCCTTATTCTGCAAATAACTGCAGTATATTTCTGCTGTGCAGCTGTGTCCTCCAACTTAAAACGTTACCTTGAGAGGGAATGCAGGATGCTCATGGAACTCACAAGAAAGTGATAAGCTCCAGATGGCTGGGGATCTAGACACAAACAGTAAATTCTTGCTGTGGAGGGGAGACTCTTCAGTGGAACTACCCGCAAGTTGTACTTGGGACTCCAGAGATAATTCTTGTGAGTTGTCACCAGTGCTGGAGTGGGCTTTACAGTCATACAGGCACCTCTTGTTCAGCTGTGTTCCTGACAGTGACCTCAGTAAAGTCATTGGTTCACTGAGCTGGACTTGAGCAGACTCCGAATTGTTTTGTGTCTGTCTGAAATGTCTTATCTGAGGTGAACCGACATTTGTTTATATGGTGTCAGGAAATTCAGGCAGCTTCAGATTAGGTTGCCCAAGAGATTAAAAGTAGAGAGGAAGGATCCTTGAGAGGAAACAGAGAAAATGGACCAGGCAGGATGTGAGAGCAGTGTGTCTGTAGGTAAGGCAGAGGATCATGAGTTCAAGATCTGCCTGGACTACGCAGTGTGTGTAGGGCCACATGGTGAATCTCTATTTAAAGAAATATAAATTAGTCTTGGGAAGCTCTGGGCCGGGACAGGTCCTTCACCTCACTCTTACCTACCAATGAGACACAGTCTGTCAGTGAACATGCCTGTCAAGTCAGATTTTCACACAGGAGAAACCACTGATTCCAAATCACTGTTTAGAAAATATTTTGAGCCAGGCAGTGGTGGTGCACACATTTAACCCCAGAGACAGAGGCAGGTGGATCTCTGTGACTTCAAGGCCAGCCTGGTTTACAGAGGGAGTTCCAGGACAAGCTTTAAAGCTACAGAAGGAAGCCCTGTCTCAGAAACAAAACAAAACAAAGCAAAAGATGTGTACCACCGCACCTAACTCTCTCAGGCATCTTACCCACTGAGCCATTTCCCAGCCCCCTTTTTTGTCTCCTTTTTTGTCTGTTTTGAGACAAGATCTTCCTATATTGATCAACTTGGCCCCAAATTCCCAGGCTCAAGACATCCTCCTATCTCAGCCTCCCGAGTAGTCCTCCGGCCTATTCTACAGGTACAGCCTTGTTCCAATGTGGAAGACATCACCAGTTGAACCAAAAGATGGGCAAAGTGGAGATGATCCAAATCCCTTGCTGCTGGTAAGTGCTGCATTTCTGGGACTTTACCAAACCCTTTTGCTGTCTGAGGCACCTGGAACAATGCTTCCTTAGCTAAATCACTGATTACAGAAGCAAAGTCAAGGGCAGGGATGAGGCCAGAGGCCCCTGGACAGGTAATGTGTGTGGACAGCTGAGGTTTGTCAACAGTGGAACCAGCACCGCTGCAGACCATGTCCAGGAAGTGTTTTGAATACTAACCTGAGCCACACGTGGAGGGCCAGGATGTGTTGTCATTAGTATACTGGATGCTGCTCAGGGTTCTCTGCACTAAGGAAGGCCCCAGATCAGGCTTGAGGGTAACTACTCTAGAAGGGATGAGAATTCCTGACATCAGAAATTGACATGGTTTTGAACCCCGGGTTTCTTGTGCTAGATTTGGTGGGGGGTGATCTCTCTACGTCTGGAAGAGGTTGTTGGGACTAGCTAAAAGGAAATCTCTCTTTACAAAGTTCAGAGTAATTGGAATGTGCATCCCCTAGAACGGCCACACCCCTAAAGTCAAGAAAGCATCTGCAAGATAGATGTAGAGGGCGTAAAAGACAATACATGCATAAATTATTGTAGCCAGGGTAACGGGGCCAGCACTTGACTGCAAGCTGAGTTGTTGCTTGATCCCCAGAACCTGAGCTAAGACAGGAGGAGAGGCCTGGGTCCACAGAGTTCTCCTCAGTGGTGCAACACCCACATCACATACACAACAACAACAACAACATTAAAAAGCAAAGCTTAAAGGAACTATTATGACTACTCTTTCTAGGCAGCACCTATACTATATATGTATCCATACACTGAGTTCTAGGACACCCATGGGGTCAAAATGCAAGGATGCTCAAATCCCTTGTCTAAAATAGCACAATATTTGTATCTATGGCCTCAGTGGGCAGAGTGCTTATCTAGCATAGAGGAAGCCCTGGATCTGACCCCTAGCACCACATAAACTGGATGTGGTGGCGCATACGTGCCTGTAATCTCGGCAAGCAGGGATTAGAGTATTGTTTCTATGGACTGAGTAGCAGAAGGATTGCTGGCAACCTTTTTTTTTTATTGTTTTAAGTCACTCATTTTTGTGGTCCTTTACTCACACACATAAAATTCACGTGGTTCTAACTCACAGCTATCAAATTCATAGTCACCTCAGTACCTTTCCACGCACTTACTCACCCAGCCTCCTGAGCCCGTATTTTTTCATAGTTTGCTCCGCTTTGTTAATCCTGGCTCAACTCAATGTCACTTCCTCCTGGAGGCCTTCCCAGTCAACCCCACCCCAGCCATCCCCGCCGTTCCCATCCTGATGCTCGACTGCCTTCACAGCGCCATCCCTCCGCGTCTCTCCTTCATCACCGTCGGCATCCCTGCTTTGAGTTTGAGTTCAGTGAGGAGACCATCTACCTCCCTTGTTCCTGGCTGTGTTTCCACCACCTAGAATAGTATCTGGCACACACAGTTGCTGTGTAGTACATGAAAACCAGATGAATGAATGTGAGCTGTTGACTTGAGCCTCTGAAGGACTGGGAGTTTCACCACTGGCCTCCCTATGACTCATGCATGTGGGCTGGGGAAATCCCTGCTCGGCTCTGAGCTCCTGCCTGCCATCTTCCACGAGAAGGCAACCCCTGCTTTTAAGTTCCTACCTGCAGGAGCTGAAGGTAATAGAGACAGAAACTGCAAGCAAGCACTTGAACCTGACTGCCCATCTGTCCCTTGTTTCTTGCCGTCCACCTGGGGCTGAGGAATCAGAGTATTTGAATGCTTATCTGCATCCAACTCAGGAGGAAAAAGTTAGCCTCATCTTGCCAAAGGATCAAGGAGGGACAGAAACTGGAAATGAAATTACAACAGAAACTTGGACCCATGGCAGACTCAAACCAGTACATCTCCTTTTCATTTCTGAACTGGGAACCGAAACCATTCCATAGGAAGCTCCCCCTTCCACTTCCTGGGGGTGGAAAAAAATCCCACTGTGGTCTGATTCTTTTTTTAATGTACAGTTATTAATAGCAATGCTCACCAAACTGTAAAGCAGAAAGCTCCATTGCCGACTCTCCTATACAGCCTTCCCAAATGCAAGGGCCTATGTTTTCCCCACCCATCCCCGTAACTGTCTCATGACAGAGCTCCATGCCCTTCTGTGCTTTGCAGGGCGCTGGATTTTTCTGCTAGGATACAATTCATAGCCCATGTAGGTCTTTAGTAAGAAGCGCATTTCTGTGAACTCTAACCCAGACAAATGCCGCAGTAGACCATCTCCGGTTGAAATTTATTGCAATGGTAGATGGAGGTACAGAAACACAAGCGCTTGAGCCCAGGAGGACCCTTCCCACCCTTCTTAACCACGGACACATTTAAATCCCCTTTAAGAAGAAAAGCAGACAGAGGAGGGAAGCAGCCGTCTTCCCCGAAGCCTTTTAACTGCTCAGCTGAATTTCTGGCTGAATGTTTAATTCCCTCCAACACTGTTAGCTCAGCCCCTCCTGGGGCTATCCTCTTCTTACCACCACTGGAGATTCCAAGAGCAATCAACGCTTTTGAATCTCCTTAACCTCCTCCATTTCTGCTGAAGTCTGGCCAAAAGGTGAATTGGTTCCACAGAACCCAGGTGACCTACTGGCTTGTTCAGTGACACCTGGGTAGCGGTCCTCCCCAGATCCTTGGCTCTCCTTGTCCCCACTGGGGGTCCGCAGACAGGCTAGGCAGGACCCTGGGGGCTGGAGGACCATCCGAGGCTTTGAGCAGACTGAGGAAGGAAGGCGAGAAGTCATCCGTAGGGTGGGTGTGTCTGGGGCTCAAACTCTGCAGGACTCTGTCCCCTTCAGCCCCGCAGGCTTGGGAGACTAAGAAGTTTCCACAATCTGGGAACTTTACTTTCTGATCCTCTGACATTCCTACGGTATCACCTTGCAACTGACTCCACCACGGCGTTTCTCTGAATCAGGTTCTCTGGACCTAGACGTCTGTTCCGAGAAAGTGCGAGCCAAGTCTCATGATGTTACTCTGTGCAACGGCCAAATTGTCTCTCCAGAGAGCTCAGGCCTGAGGGGCAACCTCCCTTCTTGGCATAGTGGCTTAATGAGATGTTGGAGCCAGATAAGAGGGACTGCGTGGCTCACTGGGGTCATCCATTAATGCCTCTGGAATACTTCTGACTGCGCTGGGGTCCCCCGTGAGCTCCACGCTTGTGCTCCGGTTATCTGTTTCACCCAGCGATTTCTTCCGAAGGCAGCGGTTGATGCACGTGGAGAAGAAGTTGGGGAAAGACGGGCTGGAGAAGTAGTAGACCACCGGGTCCAGCATGCTGTTCATGTAGGTAAAGCTGAGAGTGGTGAAGAAGGCCAGGTCCGCCGAGGAGTAGATGCCACAGTCGTGCACATTATTTTTGTAGAGGAGCCAGAAGATGCGGATCCTCACAGCCACGCTGGGCAGGAAGCAGATGATGAAGACAATAGCCACCACCATGATGAAGTTGATAGCCCTCTTGATCTTGGCATGTCTGTCCATTTGCCTCTGCCGTAGGCTCCAGATGATCCTGGCTGAGCAGAACAGGATGATGCCCAGTGGCAAGAAGAATTCCAGGAGGAACATTGCGTCATGCCACCTGAAGGTGTAACAGATGCTAAAGCTGCTGCACAGATTTGCGTTGCCGTTGGGGGTCATCTTGTTCGTATAGAGGAGATGGACTGTCAGGCCGATGGTGACACCCCACAAGAAGCAAGAGATGATGGCTGCCGCCCGGTTGGAGATCTTGTTCAGGGAATGGTGCGGATGGACCACCCGGAAGTACCGGTCCACAGCCACCACCGTGAGGAAGATGATGCTGCCTTGTCGGTTCATGGCCAACATGAAGAGCATCAGACGGCAAGGGATGTCTCCAAATCTCCAGTCCCACTTTTTGACATAGTTGTCCATCAGGAAGGGCAAGCAGATGATCAGGAGAAAGTCAGCCACAGCCAAGTTGAACAGGAAAATCCGGCTGGATTTCCAGGACTTGAGATGGAAACAGAAAATCCACAGGGCAAGGCCATTGCCCAGGAGCCCAAACACAAACTCCAATCCCAACACCGGCGGCAAGACTCTGGCAATGTTTTCATCTCTGAACACACAGCAGTTCTTGCCGTGTATCTCCAGAAAATGGTTCTGCTTGGTCATGAGTGGATCTGGTCAGTCCGCCCCAGAGCGCCTCGCCTAGCAAAGGCTCAAGGCAAGTGTGTGTCTGTGTGGTGAACGTGCGGTTCAGCCCTCAGCTTTATGTCATGTCAGGGTGTTGAAAGAGATGACTGAATGGTTACCAGGAAACTACGAAATCATTTAAAAAAAAAAAAAAGCCAGCAAGGCTCTTATGCAACATGCTGTTTGCATAAACAAGTAATAAAAAAAATCCCCTAGGCAGACAAGATCCCACAAATTTTTCTAAATGTAAAGGATAAGTTTAGGCAAGCAGGCTGGCAGTTGTAAATAAGTAAAATCTGGGGGCATTCCTTCTGAAGGCTGCATGCATGCACGCTGGTTAGTTAATTGGCCTTGGAGAATTCATTCACTGCCATTTGCTTGGCTTACATAATTAACAAATTAACAATGGCAGTAATCATACACTGTGCTAAATGAACAGCAAGGATTTCAGACACAATAAGAATTAATGTGAGATTTTACCATGCATTAGTAATGGGGATTCAGTGTCTTCTCTCTCTCTCTCTCTCTCTCTCTCTCTCTCTCTCTCTCTCTCTCTCTCTCTCTCTCTCTCTCTCTCTCTCTCTCCTCCTCCTCCTCCTCCTCCTCCTCTTCTTCCTCTTCCTCCTCTTTCTTCCTAGGACTTACTTGTATTTTTAATTGTATGCATGCATGTGCATCTGTGTGGGTATGTACTTGTAACTGCAGGTGCCCCCAGAGTCTATTGGACGCCCTGGAGTTGGAGCTGTAGGCGGTTGTGAGCCACCTATTGCGGGTGCAGGGAGCTGAATGCAGTTTTTCTGCAGGAGCAGTGTGCTCTTAACTGCTGAGTCAGCTGTTCGGCACCTCGCTCTTTGCTTTCTTTCCCTCAGACAGAATCTTGCCATGTTCCCAGTGGTCTCTAAATTCTCCCTCTTCCTGCTTCTTCCCAAATTCTGGGATTGCAGGCATGCAGCACCATGCCTGGCTGTTGCGGCCTTTGTACAATTAGGTTTGGATTTTAAGCCCCAAGAGGATGTGGAGCTTTTTAAGTGTGATTGTCATCCTCTGGAGTATTTTGGCATATATATACACATATACGTGCATAAGGTTTATGAATTTTTTGGTTCTACTTTGAGTCAGAAGTTGGAATTTTATCCCTTTAGTTGCATACCAACATCCGCTGATGGCATTTGGTAGACCTTTGTAGACTAGACTCAGAGTGACCTAATCTTGGATTCCTATAGGATTAGTGATACTTCATGGAAATAATAGCAATGAAGATGGGGGTTTTGAGGTCAATGGTGCCCACATTGCAGTTTCTAATGTGCCAGACTCCACGCCTTAAAGAGTCATTGAATTTTTAATGTGTATGGGTGTTTGTGTCAGAATGCTAGGGACACCACATGTTGCAGTATGAGGTGTGGCCAAAAAGGCCATAGAGGGCATCATATCCCCTGGAACTAGAGTTACAGATAGTTGTGAGTCACCACGTCGGTGCTGGACACAGAGCTTGTGTCCTCTGCAAAAGCAGCCAGTGCTCTGAACGGCTGAGCCATTGCAGTCTCTCTAGACCACGCTTTAAATATATCATCTTGTTTTATCCTCTGTAGCGCATGGGCCACAAACTCTTGTTGGTTATAATTTCCAGATGAGGCAGGTCTTGGGTTGAATCTGGTGAACCTCCAAACCTCTGCCCTCATCACTGTGGTATATTTTTTGTTTATTTTATTATTTTTTTTTTAGTTTTTTGGTTTTACAAGACAGGGTTTCTCTGTATTGTTTTGGAGGCTGTTGGTCCAGCCCAGCCTCGAACTCACAGAGATCCTCCTGCCTCTGCCTCCCGAGTGCTGGGATTAAAGGCCTGCGCCACCACCGCCCAGCTACTTTTGGTTTATTAGAAAATTTTAATTGCATTCATTTATTTGGAAAGGGAGGAGATAAATGCCATAGCATGTAAAGGTCAGAGGAGAACCTAAAATAATCGATTCACTCCTACCTGAGTATTGAACTCAGGCTGTCACACTTAGCAGTCAACACCTTTACTCAATAGAACACCCTACCAAATGATATTGTTTTTATTTTTATTATTATTATTATTATTATTATTTTTGGTTTTTATGAGATAGGGTTTCTCTGTATTGTTTTGGAGGCTATCGGTCCAGCCCGGCCTCGAACTCAGAGATCCGCCTGCCTCTGCCTCCAGAGTGCTGGGATTAAAGGCGTGCGCCACTATCGCCCGGCTTAAAAAAGATGTTTTTAAAACATTTGCTTTTTAAAAATGTGTGTGGGGGCACGTGTGTGTTTGTGTGTCTTTGTGTAGGTGTGTGCATGTGAGTACTGGTGTCCTCAGAGACCAGAAGAAGGTGTCAGGTTCCCTGAAGTAGCAGTTACAGGTGGACATGAGTCACCTGATGTGGGTGCTGGGTCTTGAATTCAAGTCCCCTGCAAGAGCAAGTGCTCTTAGCTGAGCCATCTCCCCAGCCCCTTAAGCAGGTTTTGAGACAGCATCTCCCTATGTAGCCCAGGCTGAACTCAAGCGCCACGCCTGACCACTGCCTCTTCTGCGATTGCCTTAAGAGTTAGCTGCCTGCTGCCTGTAGAGCTCCCGCTCTGGATGAATGTGGGCTCACTGATGGCATGCGTTGTGGCTTGGATGTAAAGAGTCCTCCTGCGGGCTCTCAGGTTTGAACAGTTGGTCCCCACGTGCTGGTGCTGCTTTGAGAGACTGGAGAACTTTGGCGATGATAGCTGGTAGAGACAGATCACTAGGGGTGGGGCCTGGAAGGTTACGTCCACTTTTGATTGAGGCCTGCTCTCCTGTTTCCAGATGCCTGTGAGGAGCTCTGCCATGTGTCACTGCTACCATGTACTGAGCTGCTCCCAACATCGTGCTCCTGTATGCCACAGTGGACTGTGACACTTCTTCAAAACAGACCTCTCTGCTCTAAGTCTTTTCTGTCAGGCATTTGGTCACAACAACGTGAAGGCAACTAGTGGACTAAGACTTGGAGAAACCACTGGTACTCACTACTTCTGGCATCCAGAACCTGCAGGGTCTCCTTCCTAAGTGTTAGGATTTTATAAGTGTGTGTGTGCATGCATGTGTGTGCAAGTGTGCTTCTTATGTATGCACGTGTGGTGACAGAGGGCTGACTTTTAATGGCTCCTCGAGCTGCTACCCACTTTCTTCTTTTGAGCTAGGGTTTCTTATTAAACCCAGGACTCACTGTCTAGCCAGCGAATCCCCAAGAGCAACCTGTCTTGACCCACCTGGGGTTACAGGCATGTGCTGCCATGCCTTCCTTCACATACGGGTGCTGTAGATCTGAACTCAGGTCCTTGTGCTTACACAACAAGCTCTTTACCCACTGAGCCATCTTGCCAGTCCCTTCCCCCTTTAAAATAAAATTGTAAACAATAAAGCTGGGCATTCTGTAATCCCAGTGTTTGAAAGATAGAGGCAGAAAGATCAGGAATTCAAGGCTAGTCTCAGCTCTAGAAGGAGTTCAAGGCCATCAAGGCCAGCCTGAGCTACATGAGACACTGTCTCAAGACAAAGGCAAAGAAATGAAGAATTAGAAGAATGATGATGATGATGAAGTTGATGAAGAAGATGAAGAGAAGGAGAAGAAGAAGAAGAAGAAGAAGAAGAAGAAGAAGAAGAAGAAGAAGAAGAAGAAGAAGAAGAAGAAGAAGAAGAAGAAGAAGAAGTAGCAGCAACAGCAGCCATTATATTATTATAATGGCTAGCTCTAACCTAGTCTCATTTGGAAAGAGTGTCATTGAGGGATTGTCTCCATTGAGTTTGCCCATGGGTATGTCTCTAGATTTGTCCTGATTAAGCTAATTGATATAAGAAGACCCAGACCGGGCTGGAGAGATGGCTCAGAGGTTAAGAGCACTGGCTGCTCTTCCAGAGGTCCTGAGTTCAATTCCCAGCAATCACATGGTGGCTCAAACCATCTGCAATGAGATCTGGTGCCCTCTTCTGGCCTGCAGGCATACATGAAGTGCTGTATAATAAATAAAATTAAAAAAAAAAACCCAGACCACTATGGCCAGCACCGTTCCCTGGGTAGGGGGTCTCCGATTAAGAGTGGAGAAGCTGAGCTGAGCTTAACACAAGTAAGTGAACCTGTATACATTCGTCTCTCCCTGCTCCTGAGTGTGAACCTAATGTAACCAGCTACCTCAACTTCCTGCCTTCACTTCCCCACAAAGGGGACAGGGAAGACAAACTGAAATAAATCGTTTTCTCCCTTACCCTGCCTTTTACCAGGGTATTTTCTCACAGCAAGCAGAAATGAAACCAGACAGTCATGAATAAATCTTTCTCTTTTTTCTTGGGGGGGGTTCCTTTTTAGAGACAGGGTTTCTCTATGTAGCCCCGATTGTCCTGGAACCCACTCAGTAAACCAGGCTAGCCTGGAACTCGGAGGTCAACCTGCCTCTGCTGGGTTTAAAGGCATTTGCCACCACCCCTCAACCTATCACAGATGGATCAAGAGGTAACAACTAATAGTTTGGAAAAGAGAAAAGCTGGCAGCTGATTTTGGCTCCATCCTTAGTGGGCTGTGAAGCCTCCCACTTGCCCCCTCAGCTTCCTCTGGTGGAAACTGAGGAACTAGGTGGCACCGCCCCTCCCTCCACCCCAGCCTCCTATAACGCTCACATTCAAAGTTTCTAAACAGGAAGTTGGGAGCTGCTCGCAGGGAATGTAAATTGAAGTGTCTGGGTGCCAAGACCTGGTACGGAATTTCCAGTCTTCCCACCTTGGGAGGGCACGCCTTGTCTTGCACTGGTCTTTCTTTTCTGTATTATTTCTTTCCTTACGGGTGCATGAGCTGTACAGAAACTTGTTACGACGAATCATCCTGAGGTGGGTCGTGAGTCTACAGTCTGGTGGGAAGGAAATGACCCTCTCAAGAATGACTTCTCAAACCAACGTGAGCCCTATGCTGGGTGGGACAGCTTGGAGGTGTGCCTGGCACTCAGAGAAG